CCAATATCTTTACCAATCAAATGGCTGGGCAAGGAAGGATATAGAATTACTGTCTCTTTGATACCTGTAACTACCTGTGAATATTAGCAACACTTTATAATAAACTTTACTTGTGAAACTTTATAGTACTATCAGCAAAAAAATGCAAAAAACTTCACCTCACTGAACTGGACCTTATAATAAAACAAAGGGTATTGTTTTGATTAACTGTAACACCTGTTTCTCAAACTTTGAAAACTCTCTTGAGCAAGATTTACCTAGAAAAGTGGCAATAAATTATTTCTTATTCAGGAATACATGCTTTCATCCATACACACATTCATAAATTGAGCAGGGCCCATAAAAACATTCAAGTTCTACGACAAGCCATTCTATGGTGGTGTTTCCTAACCCATTTCCCCTCAATCCTTGCAAAGCAACCAAGGAAGATATAAAGAAGAGAGGAAAAAAGGAACATACTTGATAGTCTGAAGGCATGACAGGCCCGCCTGAATTCGTGCCTGAAGGCCCAAGGCGTGGTTTCTTGTTTGGAGGCACCTGGTTGAGGCCGGAGTCCTGGCTGTGCTGGAGACCTGCCCCAGTCCCGCCACCTCCTGTCCCGCCACCCCCCGCAGTTCCATTGGTTTGGGTGCTGTTTTGCTGTTGAGGTGCTGCTTGCGGCTGTGGTTGCTGCGGCTGCTGAGGTGCTGCTTGCTGTTGCTGTTGCTGCTGAGGTCCTGTTTGTTGCTGATGTTGGTTCTGCTGCTGTTGATTCTAGATCAAATCCAAGGTAAGGAGAGAGAGCTGGGATTATCATGGGGTTTAGTCTTAGGGTAGTTCTTATTCCACAGAGCATTTCTAGAAATGTACACAAGCAATACACTGGCTCAGTAAGGTTGATATAATGTTTAGAGACCCTAAGGAGATAGGAACATCTGTACTAGGATGAGAAAGGCTAAACGTCACTGAGCCATAAATCTTTTATATAACTGGCTGACCTTCTCTTGCTCATCTGATATCAGATTGCTAATTGAATCAAGGAAGACTGTGTAGACTCCTTAGGAAAATGCATGGTATAACGATAAGCAAGCTTATAGTTTAAATTCTATATTGGATTCCCTCTTTTGGTAGGTGCTCTCCATTTATTCAGCCATTGTTTGAATGTCTTTTAAACATATTACAGTGGCCATCTTTAAAAAAAAATGAGTTAAAGTATATGTGACACATATGTGCCTCTTAAATGAATATAGTTCTTTCATTGCCTCACCAATTTCTTCTGACTACTCTATATACACATGATAACAGGCTTTACTTGTTCCTTCCATTTTTGAAACAATGGTATGGTTGAACATATTTATTTTTAGAGCAAAGACTGCAAATAATGGCTTTTTAAAGATGCGTGTTGCTTTGCTTTCTACTTTCATATCTTCTTCCATCAATTATTTAAAAAAAGAGCCAGCCTGGTCCAGTGGTTAATGCAGTAGGCTAGAAAGCTGGACATGGTGAGTTCAAATCCTGCCTTAGTCATGAAATCTACCTGGCTGATCTTGAGCCAGTACTTCTCTCTTAGCCCAACTCATCTCATAGGATGGTTGTTGTATGGAAACAGGAAGAGAAAGGTGTGTTTGGATATGTTTGCCACCTTGAGTTATTTGTAAACTTATAACTGATATAACTAAAAAGAGGACAAAGGAGCAGCAGAAAGTTTGGAATAGTCTGAGGACAAGAAAAGAAGGCAACGTAACAACAAACCTTAAGCAAATCTAAAGAGTCAAACTAGATGATTATTCTTTTAGCATTTGGTCCCAATGTTTGTAGACTTTTGAGTATAAACTTTCAGGAAAGTAAGTGCAATTAAATGTTGAGGTATAGCAATGGCCAAACAACCCTTTTAAACAAAAGGCTTTGAAGTCAATATGTCTTTTTCCATATGCCTCAATGCAATAAAGAACTTTCACTGTGAGATGAAAAAAGGAGAAGACAAACCAAATAAAATTCCTCTCATTAATTATGCAACTCTGTTATCATTGCCAAGAATTACAATTAAAGCCATATTTATACTTTTACTATAATAGATGACATAATATTCAGGAACGATACTGTCCTATGGGAAATACCAGCTAGAACTATAATCTGCATTTGTGCATTAGTCAAAGAATATGATTGTGATGTTGCCCCAGGCCAAAATAGCCGATGGAATGTAATTGGTTGAAATTTAACCAGCTGGAGCCATTTGTTAACATCTGCAACAACTAAACTTATTTACATTCTGTTTTAGAATTCAGCAGACTTAATGTCACAGAAAGTGGCATTTTTTTCCCCTTAAATCTCAGAATCAAAACAGGAAGCTTCTTGGTTGTACTAGTCGCAGGGGTGTCAAACTGATGTGTCACACGCAGCCACACCCACAGCTCCATGAAGAGAAAAAACATTGCGATATGTCACGACAGCAACGGGACACCACAAGTTTGACACCCATGTACTAGTGATACTGTTTTTAGCTGTTTTGTATTTTAATTCTTATGATTGTTTTCATTTTATTTTAATTCTGTTTGCTACCCAGGGTCACTTGTTGAGATGGGAAACCATATGAATTGAATATATAAACGAATACAAACATATGTCTGAAAAATTATTTCATGGGAACAAAAGGAAATCATTTACTAAATATTTCATGTCCTGAAACTTTTATACTCATTCTTAACAGACTTTTGGCTTGCTCCCACTATTTTGATCTTTGATAGTATGAAGCTCTTCTTGAAGTTTCTAATTTATTTTATTTTTCTCTCTGCTGCCATAGGAACATGGGGCATTGTTGTACATCAACAGGGACTTTCCATCTAAATTACCTATACTGAATAGCAGTAGTTCTTCAGGGTCTTCAAGGTTGGTACCTGAGCCTTTTTAATGAGAAATATCAAGGACTGCACCTGGACCCTTCAGAATGCATGATCTTTTGTCACTGAGCAATGCCCTTCTTATATCATCCGCCTACTCACACAGCATCACTACAAAAAACCCCATCAGAATATTTATTGCCAATTGATGACTTTTTAAATACATTATTAGTATATATGGGTTTAAGACCTTTCCCTTTTTTATTCCAGCTATATGTTACTTCCATTATCTAAATTTACTAAAGATTATTCAGATTTAAGCAATCTAATTAATTTCTTATAATTATCACATATCAACATGCAGTTCTTTTTGAGTATGTCCCATGACATTGCATTACAATCATATTGACCAGAAATCCTGGTCAGTAACCTTTGATATTCTATAAGCTTTCCCCCTCAGAAACACCATTATTTTTTACTGATGGTAACATGGTCTATGAACTATACCTTATCACCTTTTTCCTCTGGCTCATCTTCATTAAGAAATTCTCGTTTGGGATATGGAATCTGGCAACCAGCAAAAACACTGGAACAGAAGAATACAGTGGAATTGCACCAGTATATGTTAGCTGAAATCTTACATTCATTAAAAAACTTATTAGAGATCAGATAAATTTTGGACATCTTTAGCAGAAATGTGATGAAATGAAAAATATTTGCATTCATTTTAATATGGTCAATATGTTGTTACACACAGGACATATTTGCACAAACTATGGCTAGAAATCACTAATGTCTTTCTTCCTGAACTAATCATAGTGATTTCAGGTTGATGTTTGATTATTTTAGTGTCCTTATCTTAAGGTGTTTCATTGTACATGTTAAAAGCAGCTCAGTTTCATGCCCTCTATGACAATTATGGATCTTTTCCAATTAGAATTTGACTCCACATTTACAACATGTTACACACATAATTTGATAGGTGGAACTGATGGTGAGGAATCCCATGTGATTCTATTATCATAGACAAATCACTCTCTCATCAGTATTAAACTGATGTCTGCCATAAATCTGCAGTGATAGAAGATCTTTTCGAATGTTCCTATAAGTGCTTGATAGATCCATTACAAAGATGTTGACTGTGACAATATTGTTAATGCCATGGCAGTGATGCGTAACGTAGTCCATGTGTTTGTCACTATTCCTCTTAAATACTCCTCCCCTCTCACAATGCTGAACCAGGCCCCCAAATTTAACAATAAATGTATAGTTGTAGAGTAATGATATGCAAGTGGAGGAAATTTTAAAATATATAAGAGCTAGAACAGAGTGAAGACCATTTCAATTTTTATGTCAGATTTATAACATCAGCCTAGATTGGAAGCAAACAGAAAAATTAAGATGGGAACGTTCTGCTTCTTTTCCATGTGACCCGGAAGAAGGGTCAGACTGAGCTTGTTGATTATTTTGAAAATAGCTAATAAATCTCTTATCAATCTGAGAATCTAAACCTACATTCTGTTCTACAGCACAAAAGACAATGAAAAATGCTTAATTTTCTACCTCTGCTTTGGATTAGAATGTGATATTGAAATTGGTTGCCTTGATGTATGGTCTCGATCAGAAATTGGATGAGATTACAGTAATTCCTGCAAGTTCCCCTGGATCTCTTGATATCTTTCAATACCTTTCACCATGTGAACAATCTGGTAGAACCGAGAACTGAGCCTCAGGGGCATTTGTGCAGTAGTTTCTGTCCTTTCTGTTGTGCTGTGTCCAGTAAGTGATCCTGGGGAACTGTTCAAACTCTAGGCTATTGAAGCCCAAAAGGTTCCATATTGTTCTCCATGCTTTTCAGCATCTATAGGGAGTCCTTGAATTATGATCATAGTGGACTCCAGAATTTCAACCGTAATTCATTTTGGTCACAATCACATGGATTGAACTTAATTTTACAACCATTTTTACGATGTTCATAAAACAAGGCACCATAGTACTTAAGTAAATCATGTGGTCATAAGCAGCCATGTGGTTGTTAAGCAAATCCAGCATATCTGGAAGGCATTTTTTGCTAGAAAACAGCAAAAGAATTCACAAATCACAGCCATGTGATGGCAAGACATTGCAACCAGTTGTAAATGGGATGCAGTTGCCAAGCACTTCAAATGTGATTACTTGACCATGGGAGTGTGGGGCCACAGCAATTATAACTTGGAGTACAGGTTATCATTAGCTTTTTTGAAATCTGTTGTAACTTTGACAGTCATTAAGTGACTGATTGTAACTTGTGGACTACCTGTACTTTTCTAATATTTTACAGCAACACCCGATAGCAAAAAAAAAAAAAAAATTTAACTGAATTGTTTTGTTGCACCAATTTATGTGCATCAGAAAATTCATTATGAAAAAGGCTGTTTTTTCCTATTTCCTTCAAAAAAAACATCAGCCAAAAGCACTAATAATTAGGTATTGGTACCAAGATGGTAGCACATACCATTTTCTTTATAATCCTCCCAAAATAATATAAAAAGTATATAATTATTTTTGAGACTATCACTCAATATCAGTCTTCCATTCAAATCAGCTGAAAAACACTAGGTATGTGTAGCATAAGAAGAATTATTGGTTTGAAGTTTCTATCTAATTTAGCATTCATTTCAAAAAGTGTTTCTAACATAATTTTAGCATTACTGATGCTTGAAAAGGATTTAGCAAATAATATTTTTCCCCATCAATAAGCCTTTATTACCTCACTGAGCAAAACAGATCTAGTGTACTCATCCTTTAGGGTAAAATTCAAGTAATTTACTATGCTGTCCTATCCGTGTTTACTCAAAATGATGTTTCATATATTAAAAGGATTTAATACCCAGTAAAAGAGCATAGAAATCGAAGCAAACTTGCTGGGGGGAGGGGGGGAAATCCAGAGAAAAAGCTGATAATAATGTCATGTACAGTATCTATCACCTCTGCAACATTTCCTCGAAAGCTGCAAATTGTAGTGAAATCTTTCACTAGCATTAAAAAAATGTTTATAAATGACTGGAGTATATTCCATCTATTTCTACATTCAATTCTGTTTAAATATAAATGTCCCTACTATGCATACTACTTTAAGAATGGAACCTTGGGTATGCCATTTTAAATCCGAGTATGGATCTATTATTATAAAAGAGAAATACTTTATGTTATAAAATGAATATTTCAGAGATATAATCAAGCACACATTACAGCCATTATTTTATTTTAATATAAGTTTAGAAAGTTATTTGAAAAGTAAATTATGTTATACAGCAGTGGAGGAAGGGCTACAAAGAACAGGGAAAAACATACTCTGATGTAGGCAATGGGTCTTCCTGGAAGTAAGGATCCTGCAAAGCTTGCTCTGAGGTAATTCTTTTAGTCGGATCCATAGTCAGAAGTTTTTGAAGCTGCAAAGAATCCAGCTTGTATGAATTTCTGAGTAAAACTCAATGACATGCATTATGTATTTAGTTTTATGACCAATAATACTAAAATAAAATAAATACAAATAAACTTATGGGATTTTATATACAGAAAATATGTATCATATAGTTAAAAAAATCAGAAAACATAAACTAGAAAACCTAAAATATAGAAGTCTCCCTTACATTGATCATAGCCCAGCACGAAAATTGGAAACAATTCTGGCAGGCAATAGTATCTGATCTGATCTAAGCTTCATTCCATCACACAGGTTTGCCCTCCATCTAAACATGGAGCTAACAGAAGGCTCCTGTTATACTAGTTCTCCTGCCATAATTAATATTCAGAAATGGAAAGTAAGTTGTTTGGATGAATTTGGCAATAAATGACAGAACCATATGGAGCATCTGGCTCAGACAAGGAAGCTGAGTAGATGACTGGCCCAGCCAGTATTTTCAGCTCAGCCTATGCCACATGGTGTTTTAGGGAGAAACGGAAAGCAAGGCATGCCATTTTAGTTTTTTTTTTTACAATTTTAAAAGAGGAGATATAAACCTAAAAATTAGTTAATACATGAATTATTAAGTATTATGAAGTATTATTATTGTCAGTGTAGGTAAAACTTTAAATAATATGAAAAATACTAGGATATTCTGGCCACTGGAAAGAATTTAAGTTCTTTTATGCATTATATTTTAGATCTGTACATTTTAAACCTCATTTTCTCCCAGAATATAGTAAAGGTGACAAGTTATATATCCTTTCCCTGAGACCAACGTCTTGAATAGGGCTTACTTCTAAGGAGAAATATAAAGGTTCACGCTGTTAACTTTACAAAACAAAAAATTACTTCAGCAGCAACAAAGTTTTCTTCTACTGCTACAGTATTTGATACTAAGAGTTTAACTTACTTAAAAAGAAAAATAAAGCTTCTATGTCACTTACCAAAAGGAATACTTTGCTATCAGGCTTGACTTTGTGTTTTTCCATGTATTTGAGGAGGCTACTATTGGCATATCTGAAAAAAGAAACATTGAACGAAATCAAAAGAATAATGTAGCATCCAAATTTTTAAAAAAAGTTTTACTACATGTTAATTACATTTCACAAGCTTTTATTTCCTGGTGCATACAATGAACCACATACAGATAGCAGTGGCACCTTTTATTAATATACAGGTGCCAATCCCATTTTATTTGATAAAACTAATCTTGAAATAGGCTCTACTGTGGAATAATTAAAGGAGTTATAAAGATACACTAAATTAGGTTTCTCTCATGTATCGTAATGTGCATGTATATACTTCAATTAATACTCCTTTTTAACAAAATCTGAAATGACTAATGTGAAAATAACAATTAAAGCATAAAAGCAATAGGCAGCAGAAGCCAAGGTAATAAAATACAGGTAGATATGGAGTCTGATAGCACCTTCAAGACTAATCAGCTTCATTGGGACATATGGTAATCTTTTGTGAATAGCAACTCACTTCTTCAGATTCACAGAATGCAAGTCCACACTATAGATCTGTGGATGTGAACTGCAAGAATGCTAATGCCCAATAAAATCAATTACTGGTAGTCTTGAAGGAGCCATTATATTCCATAACTACCTTGTGTCCATTGAGTAATGCATATCTTCTCTCCTCACCAAAGTTAATAAAATTAGAAATAAAAATTTAAACAGAAGCATATATTCTGAAAATGCAGATGAAATCTTATCCAATGCTTAAGAAAAGTAAGATAACATCTGGACTATCATACATGGGTTGCAAAACTCCACCAGAACAGCAGCAAGGAAATACAGAAAGCAGTGCAGATTTTAGAAACCAGATATGGCAGTACTACATAAGAAAATAGGGTCGACCATGCTCAGGAATGAAGTGTGATAATCTGAACCTTTGTTTTATTCATCAACACAAATTCCAAGAGGTAGTAGAATATCTGGAGAAGGGCCTCCAATAAAGATTTTATTTGCCAGGCACATAGCCCAATAATCAGCATCTATGACTCTCAAAGTGTTAAAGATGATGGGAACTGAAACTGAACAACTTGTGTGAAGGGCACAAGTTGCTACATGTTGATGTGAGTCTGGAAACAATGCAACTCTCTCAATACTGATATAATTTACAGGGCGGGGCATAACCTTTTCCTAGGGGGTCACAGCAAGATCGACAGCAGTTTACAACTTCCGCGACACCTCATTTTAAAGCCCATAA